TTAAACTTGAGCTTTAAAATACTAATGGTCTGTATTAGTATTTAATACTAGAGCCTTTCAAAAGCTTTGCATGGAATTACCTAAAACACACTGCTGCTAATTTCACTTCTGGGGCAACATACTCCAAGACACAACAGTGCGAAAGATAGAAAATAAATTGGAAATTGCTGTCTCCAGCTGAAGAAGCAACTCTGACAGTGGAGAATATTTTTACAAGTTAGTCCCACTGATACAACTACTAAAACAAACAGGTATTAAATACAAGTTGAGGACAGAAAATTCAGAGACAAGTTGGAAACCATCCAGACTAACAGAGTTAAATACCAGCACTTGTATAAAGAGTGCCATAGGATTCTTTAAAGATTATTTCAGAATGTGAGTTGCACTTCTCATCCACCACAAGGCATTTGCACTGAACAGAGGCTGGTGTTAATTTGGCATTCCCTACTCAATTACTAAATGAGTCCAACCTGCTCTGCTTGGGAAAAATAACAGAACCTGACTACCCAGTAAAAGAATTACTGAAATGCATTGATTCTTCTGCCAGAATTCCTCCTTTGGGAACATAATTTTGAATTTTTATGGGTACTAGTAACCTTTTTTGGAACATACTACTAGGAAAAAAATGCAAAACTATCATCTAAAATTTGACGGCTTTTGGTGTAGCATAGCCTCATAAGTCAGAGAAGCACTCTCCCCCCCCCCCATTTGAAGATTGCGCATCTGAGCAGGCTCTGCCCTGTCCCAAATCTCCAGGCACTACTCTTCAAACCTTTTGGCCCACACTCCCAAGCCTCATATTAAGTTGTTTCTGCCCATCAGGCTCTAAATGTGTGCATCAACTTCCATGACAAACTCTCTGCAACCAAGGTAGTTCCCTAGTCAAAGACTCAGCAGTACTGCAAGTGCCATCAGAGTTTTCTCTCCACCATCCCTCCTTGCCTGAGGACCCTGGGGAAATGCCTTCTCCCCTCAGGTCCTAGCCCAGCCAGCCTCCATCATACAGGAAGGGCTCCTTCCCATCTGAGATGCTCACCTTTTGCTGTCTCCTTACCACATGGCCCCTTCTCTGGGGAAGCAAAAGGAAAACAATGAAGACATGAGACCTTCCTGAGCCTTCTCTTGACATGTTTGCTTCCCTTCCCCTCTCATCCTCCCCATCAGTCAATTCATTGCTCTTGCATTTTGCCAGTATTTACATTTTTACCCACATCAGTAATGAAATTTTTTTTTAACAGTAACTCTCAGCATCTAAAACCAGTGTGTTCTGAACTCATCAAGCTACTGCAGTTTATATAATCTGATTGTCTCAAGTGAATTACTTTAAAAGAAAAAGCTTCCAACATTTTGGATGATATACTGAGCTTTGAGTCTTCAAGTCTGGCATCTAATGTTCACAATGTTTATCTGAATATCAAGCCATACTTTAAAAGCTATATAATAGTAGTAGATGAAGCATCAGAGGAAATTGTTTCTATCCTCATACTGTAGCTAACTTGCTCCATAATAATATGGTTCACAACTTATGGTTCATTTTAACAAATCCCACAAAAATCCTCTGATGTGCTCAAGTCTTTACCAGCTATATGACTTAATGATCAATTCACCAAAAGACATCAACATAATAGTTTAAAATCTGCAGTGGAAGTAGATAAATGCAGAAATCCCTGTGAGGATATTAGCTGTTTACTACTTTACAATCCGAAGGGAATGCCGCATGACACAAAGCAAGTCATCTACACTGCTTTTATTCACTACTAATGCCAAAACTAGCAGTATTTTTACTTTCAGATGCTCAAAAAACATTTACTCAGTAAGTTAATTACAACAAAAGAGAGCAGTTAGGGGCATGAGCATCTTTCTCCATATACAGCTGCCCTAAATGTAAGCTCATTCACCCTGCAATGATCCCAGCACAAGGATAGCTCCGTACATCCAGAATGCAGAGGGCATCTTCCTCTGTAACCCAGGACTGACCGTGACTGACTGAGAACCTCCAGGTTTACATCCTATAATAAGAAAATTTATTTTTCAGACTTTTATGAAGGAACACCATACAACTGCTCTTCTGCTAACAAAACAGAAAAAACAGTTGAATTAGTGCAAAACAGATTACAGCAATAGTTCAAACACTAACACTTTAATATTCCGAACACTACTGTCTTCCCAAAACAGCATCTCTGTAGCTTGTCACTTACATTACCTGGTGTGGTACAGGCTTGTTAATACTTCACTGGAATGCCAGCCTCAAGCCTACCCTGGCCTTTGTTTAGCAGAGTACTAAAGTCCAAGTATCAAGACTCTTTGGGGCTGGGGAGGAAGACTCCTAATCCTATGCCCATAAAGCAGCACTATACTATTACCACAGTTGCTATTTCTCCAGAGCTGGCTTTTCCAAATTTGCTCACTGCAGCTAGACCTAGGCCCAAAAATGCAGAATCCAGGAGTCCTCTACTCTCGGGTGCAACCACTCACTGCCAGGCCAGGCCCACTATTAATCTGCCTACAGTAAGGTCAAATATGAAAAACTTTTAACAGAATATACTCACAGATACTTGACATTGACCGACAAATGAGCTGACATAACTCCCCCGCAGGTAATCCAATAATGGAAGAAACATAACTATTTTGTTAAAAGTAACAAATAATCATCAGCTCCTTTCCCCAAATAAGGTTTCTGTTAATTTACTGAAGAACAAGACATTCGAACCTAATTCTTGACAAGTATTCAGCAGGCTGCACAGCCCTGCCATGCTCACAGCAGCCTCAGCTGTTCCCCTCCTGGGGTCAACAGTGAAGAGGAAACACAGCTATTCAAATGCCATCAGAGGTACCTTGCTAAACACAACATATAAAGCAGCCAGCCAGTGGCTGCCCTGAATTTCTGTGAATGTTCCATGAACAAAATAACTCTTGCCTTTAAAGTAGCAAATATAAAGAGATGCTTAAGTACTAACTCTGAATCTACATCACTGGGCAGAGGTATAGGGAGCTTGTAGCCCTCGTTCTCAGATATGCACTTCGCAAAGTCCCAACTAAAGGAAAAGAGCACTGCTTGGTATACCCTGCACTCCTGCATTCCCCCCAACCATACACACACACACACAGATTATATGCTAGCTCTGACCCTACTCACATGCTCAGGTTTCCATCAGAAGGAAATCCAGACACACAGTGCAAAGATGCATAACTCAGCCCACCTCCTACCACTGAGGCAGGACACAGCCAGAGCTCACGAGGCCAGGAGTTTGCACCGCAGAGCATTCTTCCCTCGAAAGTAGGTCAGCTTAAATTAACAAAATTCGCTCTGCAAAATTACGCATCAGATTTTTTGTTTTTTCCAAGACACCGCCAACGGTGTTCCCAGGCCCCAGAGCGTATTTGCTGTTCAAGACTATTTTGTTTTGTTTAAAGGAAACTTTCTGGTTCCTAAAATTGAAATTCTTGCTTCTCCCTCTCTACCAATAACCATTTAAACCTTCATAATTGTAACACATTAATCTAGTTACTACAGACTTGCTTTTAGGGAGGGTAGGGGGAGGGAATTCTTCCACCCATTAATTAAGAGGATTCTTAACAAGCACGAAAGTTCATTGTGCAAATAAGAGCTTGGAAACTCAAGTCTCCCAGGATCAATCTTCCTCCACTTCTGGCTTAAGAGCTGCAGAGAACTGAAAGCATAATCCCTGACATTTCACTGTACTTGCAGGACTAAAATGTTTGCCCTGTGGATATGCCAACACTGCAAGTAACTGGGTAGAAGCTAATCACTCTGTAGGTTTCATCGTAATTTAAAAATACCCAAAGCACCTCACTAGTACCTCCACATCGTATAAATTGGTCTGTTTTGTAAATGGTTTCATCTACCTGTCTGTCAGCAGAGAGATGAAAAAGAATACTGATAGCATAACTGGGCAGTTATGTAAATTGGACAACTAAACCGATTCCAAATAATCTCTTAGTCTTTTCTCTCCCCACAATAACATTTATTACTCCTCCCTTCAGTAAACAACCTTTGGCAGCCACACAATTTTTTGCAGCTGTCATTTAGAAAAGTAGTCAAAGAAAAGGGAACATAGTAGATTTTGGAACTTGGCACTCATTCTGTGTAGATTTTTTTTTCTGATTACTAAGTTTTTGATGCTACTGTCTTAAAGCTACTTGTTATGCATAAATCTGCTATTTGTTTGTAACATACTGGTTGTAATTTTGTAAATATTTCTCTATTTGACTTTTTTTTTGTTAGCATAAAACCCCCATAACATTTAACTTTTCCCCATAGCGATAATTAAGAGTTTACAACCTCTCAGATACCCTGTCAATACAAACTGAATGTAAACAAGTTTTAAAGTGAGTGGCAGTTAAGTTTTTTTAACTAAGCTAGCGATTTAAGGAAAATGGCTGTAAATACATAAAGTTATCAAAGCTTCTTATGAAAAAATACTTTTATCCAAGAACTAGACTGCATAATTAAACATTTCAAATCTTAGTTATAAACTGATTTTAATTAAAGGTAATCTGACTCATTTTAACTATGTACAAATTTAAGTCAGACAACATATTTGTATCCATTTTCTAAAATATCTGTCACTTTTCCACAGTGGCTGATCAAACTTGCCAGTGAAAAACGTTTTGAGTAGGCAACTTGTAATACAGCTATGGTTTATTTCTGTCAGAGGCTGACTGCTGAAGTGTGAAAGAAACTCATTAAAAATCTCTCACTGTGATCCTGCATTGCAAGGAAAAAAAGAAAGAAAATACTTAATGAAGGGTACACTTAGCCTGAAGCCACATTCATATTCTGCTTTTCATTTTACACCATTTCAGTAAGCTATTAAAAGACAGCAATTAGTCACAGAAACACTATTCATACTGGTCATACTGGGAGATTAAAGAGGTTAACACTTATTTTATATTAATATTATGAAAGTAATGAGGGAGATCAAGAATAATACAGCCAACTAAAAAGGAACACTAAAATAAATAGACGAATCTCTTACCTTAATCTTAAGACAAGATTCACTGCACATGGAACTTCACTATATTCGTCACTAACAGCAGGCTGAGACTATTAAAGAAGAAAGCAAAACGTCTTACAAAGGATGCCAAGGGAAAAAAAAATATCCCAAAATACTTGCCATGCTAACAGTTTAAAGCTAGCACAGAATATTTTACGCATCCTCTAACTCTCAAAAACCTTTTAAACACTTTCAGTAACACTATCTAAAACATAGCTGATACCAGTAAAACCGCTATATTTCAATCACAGAGATATAAATGATAAGGCCTGCATTAAAGCACTGAGTGTAAGAACTTTTAATCCACCTTGCATCAAAGCTCCAATAACCTATTAAATAATATGCACACAGTGAGAATACTAAGCTACTACTCATTATTTTTGTGTAACAGTTTTGGTTGTTAAGGAAGTCTTGCATCTACCCATCTGCAAAGAACTAGCAGCCTATCAAAGCGGGCATCACAGCTCGGAGAATGTCTTTCACAGAGAAAAATCAGGAATACGGCTATCTTTCACACTATCACTCCTCCCTCACACTATGATACCCTCCCTAGCCCTCAACTAACATTTATACGAAGTCTCAAGCAAAAGTGTATCCTACATACAGAGTACCTCAGGGTCCTCTACCCTACTATGATTTCATGCCCAACTTGGCATATTGTCACCACTCACAGAAGCCTGTTCAAAGGTTACAGTCAAGTCCTCCCAAAATAAAGACTTGCATCACAATTCTAATTTGATTGTTTTCCACATTAAAGCTACTTCAAAAAAGTGTTACACAAGATCTATATTTTATTATCTGTGTATTTTAAACAAAAGTTTAATGAATATTTGGAAAAATATTTAATCACTAAAAGGGGAGTAGATTTTTTTTTCTACTTCAATTAAGTTCTTTCCATTCATATAAACTACTTCTATTATTTCTCCATCTTCAACAGACCTGTTATTTCAGTGTACAGGAATGTGCAGCCCAAAGACCAACAGGCGCACACTAACAGTGACAAGCTGCGCTAGTCTCAGTTCCAAGTCATCTTCTAGAAAACAAAAATCAACAGAAGACTTCAAGCAGAGGCTTTTTTCTCCTTCATAAACTAAATAACTGTGCTGGTTTTGGCTGGGGCAGAGTTAATTTTCTTCATAGAAACTAGTATGAGGCTATGTTTTGGATTTGTGCTGGAAGCAGTGTTGATAACCCAGAGATGTTTTAGTTACTGCTGAGCAGTGCTTACACAGAGTCAAGGCCTTTTCTGCTTCTCACCCCACCCCACCAGCGAGCAGGCTGGGGGGGGCACAAGAAGCTGGGAGGGGACCCAGCTGGGACACCCACCAAAGGGATATTCCACACCATATGACATCATCCTCAGCATATAAAGCTGGGGGAAGAAGGAAGGGGGGGACATTTGGAGTGATGGCATTTGTCTTCCCAAGTAACTGTTACACGTTTCCTGGAGATGGCTGAACACCTGCCTGCCGATGGGAAGTAGGGAATGAATTTTTTGTTTTGCTTTACTGCGTGCGTGGCTTTTGCTTTACCTATTAAACTGTCTTTATCTCAGCCCATGAGTTTTCTCACTTTTACCCTTCCAATTCTCTCCCCCATCAGGGGGGAGTGAGCGAGCAGCTGTGCGGTGCTTAGTTGCCGGCTGGGGTTAAACCATAACAACAACAACTCATAATAAAAGTTACCTATACAAACTGAGTCACAAACTGCAGAACTCTCATTTTCTAAGACATAAAAGACTGTCTGGTGAAAAGTCCTTTTTTTTTCTTTTTTGTACTCAGCTTACATAAGACATCCCAGATGCTGAAGCGCTATGTAAACTAGCTCTGCAACGAAGACTGGGGTCATCACAGGGACTAACAGGGCCAAACCTGGCAGGAAGCTGTTAGTCTTTTAGAAGATTTCTATGATACCAATGAAAATCAGAGAATCAAAAAAACTGCAGGTGACGTGGCAAGTGTCAGCCACCCAAGGAACAGAGCACTTTGGCTGTAAGCCAGTAACCCTATTAAGCAATTATTTATAGCAGCAATGCTTCCCACGCTCTCAGCACAGGGCAATGAAACTCAATATGGTACTTTATTCCTCTGAATTAGTCTACTATGCCGCAGTACTGAACTGTTTTACTGTACATGGGATAAAACATTTTAATTACAGGCTACATGTCATGATACTAATCCTAAGAATGAAAAATTATTTGGAGATCTTCTGGCTACTCTGAAACAGCCATCATTACTCTGACAAAAAGACAGCAATTAGTGTGGTCCAGTTATGAAGATTCATTAAAAACAGCCAAATTACCTATCTTAACCAATTCTCCTGGGGCACAAACATAACATGACTTTAAATTTCCTATCCATTTTATCTAGTGTGTGCTCAAGTTAATTGTTACAGGCCCAACTGCATACAGCTCTATTCTCACAAGTACTTGCCATACAAGGCTGCAGAACAACACTCCCGCATCAATTCACATTTTTAACAACAGAAATGAAAAAGAAATCCCTTCACTCAAACACCTGGAAGAAAAAAAAAATTGATAAAGACATTTTTACCTCTGTGTTCTCTTCTTTCACTCTTCGTGACTGGAAAACAAAAGCAGCGAGACATGAGCTATGCAGCTTTATGCATTAAAGATCCAGAAATACTAACAATTAACATTTAAGACAGAATATCTTGCAGAGTGTAAGTGTCTTGGCACAAACAAAAATTACCTTTTCCTGAGAAACAGCAGCTTTGCCTTCCTCGCTCTTCTCATCCATTTCATCATCACTCCATTCCCAGTCCCCATCTTCTGTTTTATGGAGGTGACCACTGGAACCTGGTACTCGTCTGACCTACCAAAATATTAAATGTTCACCATTACACAGACATCTTTAGTCTTTATTGGTGTTCTGGTTAATCAGCAATTCTTCATTATTTTTATGCTATATGCTTTCATTAGTTGCTGGAGGAGTCACTGGCATACTGGAATAACAGCTGAGCTCAGGGGTCATCCTTGAGCCAGTAGGAACAACTAAGCTATGCAAAATTCATATAGGGAAAGGGTGTTTGGGTGTATTTTACAACTGCTTAGGAACAAGCTCAAGTAGATGACAACTGCTTACTATTAACTAATCCTTGAAACAAAAGGAAGCTATTCAAGGAAGCAGAAATTACACAGGCAAGGTTGTTCTTGGGACACAAGTCTTAAAAACTTTAATTGTTCTGCTAAAAAGCTTTAAAATGTGTAAAGACATTAAGGATACTTTAAAAGGAAAATTACCCTTATTAAAAAAAAAAAAAAAAAGCAGCTGTATGCAGACTGAGACGGTAGGCAGGCATGCACCATACCAAAGTAATTGGGCAAACTCCTGTACATCAAACAGTCTAACGAGGCTTAATAGCAGTATCCAGCAGCTAAATCTGAAAATCAAATACTCTTCTGATGCCATCTTGCTCTTTTTCAGAGCCTGACAACATGCTTGTTTTCCCCGGATCATGTTTAGCCTATTTGAGCAAAACAAAAGAACATCCAACAATTCTTCCCACACCTTGGCATGCATTTATGAGATTCGTGAGATGGCTGGAAGCACAGCACAATAAGCAGCAGCCCCACTGGTGTTTAGATTAGAATCAGTTTCTCTAATTATTTCACATTACTGAACCAATATACAGTTCCCACTGTATAGCTTCAAATGCTCATACAGGTAAGCTCCCCAGCACTATAAATTTGTGAGGCTTAAAGCATATCTTTTTGAATTATAAAAAAGGAAAAAAGTTCTTCAGGAAAACAGCCTGTACATTGGTAAGAGAACAAAAGGAACAAAGCATTAAGTGTTCACAACACACAAAAGGGAGAACTGACTTGGGAGAAAAGCAGTTTCAGGCCAAGAACAACTGCTGGAGAAGACATCTATTAAAAAAAACTTTTTAAAAAAATTACGAACTAGATGGTCATAGCTTAAAATTGTATATCCTGTTTGCCGGTATCCACAGTAACATACAACAGCTTGGTTCAACTTCGGTTTAACAGATTCCCGTCTGTAGTGTTTTGATGTCTTGCACTGATTAACTTGTTCTACCATTCTGATGGTTGGTGGCCGTGATGGAAACCCATTCTGCCAGCACACTACCTCACAACACAGGAAGATGTTAAAAAAAAAAAAAAAAAAATTAATCTGATTTCTGACTAGAAAAATTACTGTTTTTTCAACATAATGAAACTTATGTAAAGACTAAACTGGTATTAACCTTGCTCTAAACCCCTTCAGTTGCTGCAAACCACAATGTGGGGAGAGATGCAGCATGTGACAGATTCCAGCCGCTTCTAAATCCCATCAGGTAGTACTTCAGCAAAACATTTGTGGCATGAAAACAATATAGGACACTAGAAGTCTGAGCTCATGAGCTTCTAGAAAACTGTGTGATACAGATATTAAAACAATTTTTCCAAAGTGGCTTTTCATAGAGAGCTGGGTATTTAAGCTATTTCTCTACTGGGTTTGGACCGAACAGAATTTGGAGCTGGCTGGCCTGACACCACAACAGCAAGAGAGCTTTCTTAGGAGCCTTCTTTCAAAACCTTGGGCATACATAAGCAGATATCTTGGTGCCTGTCTGCACTCTTTACCCCTCTTCCTTCCTTCACTCCCCAAACACCCATCTGCTCCCCTCCCTTCCCTTTTGCACATATAAAACTAAACTAGAGAAAAGGGTGAAGTTTCCAGAACCACTGCACATTTCTGTTTCTTCAGTCCTTGTGATATTCCTCCCTTACCTTTCTTCCCTGCACAACCAAATAAGAGTGCCCTACTCAGTTTCTCCATATTTTGTACTCCTTTGAAACTGAGAAGATGGGAAACCTATGCAGGACACTAGGGGGATATCCTACTCTATCACTTGAGGGACAAATTCTGCACTATTTTCCCCGTTTCCCATACCAGTCTCCTAATGCACCAATTTTAAATCTAGCTGCTTCAAAGCTTGGTAAAAGAAGCTCGTGTGTGTTTGGGAGGGAAGACCAAGCAAAAGTCAACAGAAGCAGTAGTGCAGCAATTTCTTACTCAGCTGCAATCAGCCCAGGCACAATCAGTGGGCTCTTATTGTCTACATCATCAGTGATTAGCACAGATACAAGGTAATCCAGCAGGCAATTTGCCTGGTGCTTGTGGATATAATTTATTATCTTTCAAGGAACAGTCCTGACATAGGCTTTTGTTTAACAGCACAAGCATTTTCCCAACAGCTATACGTGAATCTATGAGAACACATCAACCACAACCAAAAGCACGCTTTTAAACAGAATAGAATAGGATGGTTTACAGACACATTCACACACTACCTCATGCACTAATCAAAATCTCTTCTGCACCCATTTTCAGTTGTTCTGAAGACTTATTCTAACTAGAATGGTTTTAATGGAGCTTAATGATACTGGCAGAGAGTTATGGGAGAAAGCTTTACTGATGAAGATGGAGTGCATTTCAAGTTTTTAAATAGATTGCCTTTTAATAAGCAATAAACAAATGGCTCAAGGAAAAGAAAATAAGTTACTGCAAAATAAAATATCGTGTTAAGTTAAATGATTTTCTTGAAAGGTGTCTGAAAGCAGAAAAAAAAAGTTTACACTTGTATTCTGTTTCAATCAGACTGATTCCAACCAGCACACATATTCACAGGAAAAAAATCATAATTTCAGTTATAGCAAAGCACCCAACCTATTCAACCTTCAAAAATGTGAAGTTGTTGTCTATGACATTTTTTTATTGGTGGGTGTGCTTAACACTTGCATTACTTAGCAAATTAATTTGCACAATTTTTGATTAACAGTGGCTTTGCTCAGGCTTAGTTCTGGTTAAAGCTGCAAGGACTCAGTCACATAGGGAGGGCATGTACCCTAGGTGCCAAACAGAGCAAGAGCGGCGCACCATGTCTGCAAATAAGTTAATTGTCTCTTCATTCATCATAAACCTGTACAACTCTAACATCGCATACTGGATGGAAACATACTAGCTTAAATTTCTGTTGTAATAGAAACTTATCATAGCAGACTTAATATTGGTATAGCACTGCTTCTCCTCAGATTTTCTACTGTCTTTTCCAGAGCACGTTCATTAAAATGCATATAGGTAGTAACACACGTGAAGTATTTTAGGAGCCAGCTAGCATTTTACCATATTGAACTCACATTAATAAAAAGCAAAAATACACCAGAAGAAGTAAAGGAATAAAACCTACATTATACAGCTAAAGCTTTTTAGGCTTTGAATTTGACACAGCCAGAGAACCACTTTAAAGGGCTAAAATAAGACAACTGAGACAATCTACTAGTTTGTTATCGTGGGAAAAGACAATCCCAAGACGTCCATCAGGGCTGCACTGGGACCTACCTGTTTGCACAGTAAGAAGATTCAACCCACCAGCCTGGGAGAAAAACTAGTCTTTTTTTTCTTTTCTGAACAAATTTTTTTGCAAGATTTGTGAGTTAAATCAGCCCATCTTGAGGTCAAATAGCAAAAACTGTAAGCAAAGAGGCAGAAACAAAAGGGGCAGTGAAAAGGAAGTTGGATCATCTTGTTTTGACAGCAGAAATCCCTCAGGATCCTCAAAATCACGTACTCTAAAACCCTTACAATGCAGCATCATGACTGGAGTGCACAATCTGCCACACCAAGTCTCCTCAAGCTTTCATTTGTGCTCCTACAGCTGTGCAGACAACCCAACTGAAAAATTAACATGGAACAGTTAGCTTGCAGCCAAATCAGCTTTTTAATTTAGCTGATCATGAGCTAGCACAAGCACTAGAGCCTGCACAAGAGGAAGAGCTGGAATATCATTTTCAGTAGTTGCCCCAATCATCTATGGTAAGAAAGCACTGTAAATTCCCAAAAAGTGATACAGACAAATGTGAACAGGGAGCAAATACATCCAGACACAGCACACTTTTGTCTCCATGCCCTTTTGTAGGCATCCTAGTTTAATTTTTTTAAATCTGTGTCCTGGTTTCGGCAGGGCCAGAGTTAATTTTCTTCCTAGTAGCTGTTACAGTGCTGTGTTTTGGATTTAGGATGAGAACAAAGTTGATAAGGCACCGATGTTTTAGTTGTTGCTAGGTAATGCTTACACTAGCCAAGGACTTTCTAGTTTTCCATGCTCTACCGACTGAGAAGGCTGGAGGGGCGGAAGAAGCTGGGAGGGGGCACAGCCAAACTGGCCAAAGGGACATTCCATACCATGTGACGTCATGCTCAGTACATAAACTGGGGGAAGCTGGCCGGGGGGGCGGCTGCTCGGGGACTGGCTGGGCATTGGTTGGCGGGTGGTGAGCAACTGCATTGTGCATCACTTGCTTTGTGTATTATTATTATAATTTTATTTCAATTATTAAACTGTTTTTATCTCAACCCACGAGTTTTTCTCACTTGTGCTTTTCCAATTCTCTCCCCCATCCCACCGGGTGGGGGGAGTGAGCGAGCGGCTGCGTGGTGCTTAGTTGCCGACTGAGGTTAAACCACAACAATCTGTCACACAATCTTTTGTCATTCCTTCTTCTTTTATTCAGCGCAAATACTAGGCTTTCAGTATTAGGCTCAGTATTTTTTCTCCCCTTCCTACATGCAAACACTGTAAACATATTGTTGGTTTTTCAGCATTAAAAAACCCCTTTTCCTAAGTATCTTTGCAGATTTTTCATCATGAATTAATTTATACAATCAACATTAAACATCAGTACACATTTTCGGGGAGGGGGACGGACACAACTACCTGCTTTCAGTACCTTTTTTTATATGCTTCTTTCTCATATAAATACCTCTTTTCTTCGTGAAAAAAACATAAATAGCATAATGCTTTTATT